TGCCCCACCAATTAATTGGATATAAAATGACCACTGTTGCACAAATATGCTACCCAGTTCTCAATGGATGAGTCCGTCATCCTGTTTCCTTCAAGAGCTTCACACAAATGCAGCATTTTCTAAACTCAGCGCAGCACCTGTTTATAGCAAAGCTGTGATAAAGCTACTGTAACTCTCTGCGCAGACGTTTTCATTGCGTAGGTCACTGCACTGGTCAGTGTGCTGCAGCAGCGTGTGTGTGTGTGTGTGTGTGTGTGTGTGTGTGTGTGTGTGTGTGTGTGTGTGTGTGTGTGTGTGTGTGTGTGTGGTCTGCTTAAAGCCAGCAAGCTTTTATAGACAGCAGAAGGCACGGCTCGCTGGTCTCCAGGTTTTAAGATTTAACTGCGGCCAAGGAGCCAAAAACACACACGCTAACTTTCCACTTCTGAGGGAAAAATTAGGACATGCTGCATGATGCACTGACGCATGGGATTTTGATTCGAATTGGGGTGTTTGGGCTGCACCAAATGCAGACCATGTCACGAGCAAATCTAACCACCCTCATAAGCGTGCGTGCGTGTGTGTGTGTGTGTGTGTGTGTGTGTGTGTGTGTGTGTGTGTGTGTGTGTGCGTGTGTGTGTGTGTGTGTGTGTGAACTCGAAGCCAGCCAATCGCAGGGCCCGCACATTCATTGACATTCACAATCACACCAAAGGAGAATACAGAGTGTCCAGAGACACCGCCACTATCAATACATTTTCTAACTGTACAAATGTATGTATTTGCAGGTGGGCAACTACGTAACTACTGACAGCAAGCCCTGGCTCAGACCTCTCAGACCAAGTGCAATTGTGCTACAAGCAGAAACAGAAACACGAAGCCTGATTTGAACACGCTACATCAAAGCTGTGTGCTTTAAAGACTTTCTTTTACTGCTACATGCAGGAGTTCTGGCTCCTCCGTGTCCAGACGGCTTATAAAGGCTTGTTTTTATCCTCACCTCTCTTTTCAACACCCCAAATCATCTCTCAGTCTTGCAGGACTGCTGTTATCAGTATTTCAAAAAAATCCAATGTTTGGATTTTTCTCCTGAATGGCACCTTATGTTGCTCATGACAATGTTGTCATCCAATGCTGTTGCTTGACCTTGTTCGCACCCTCGGTTTAATTGAGCACTCCTTTCCTTTCAAAGAGCCCTGTCTTTTCTCATGGCATGCAGACGATCCATCCTGGCGAGCTGGCATCAGACTCTGTGCTGTTGGCTGCTTTAATGGAGTGTACATGGCTATCACAGGCAATTGTGGGAGCGTCGTACACGTGGGGGACTGTGGTTTGTTATTCCAGCAGATATGAGTGGGCCATTAGAGAAACGCTGCCTTCCAAGGCCCCAGCAGAGAAAACAGACAGGTCTCTGTGGATCTGGCTCGGGTTCAGATCGTATAGTGAGTGAGATCCTGAGTTGCGTCTGCCTTGATGTGACTCCTGGGAAGGTGCTCCATGACGCTCGTTCGAGACCGCAATGAACACTTGGAGGATCACAACAACCAAACCGGCACCCATTGATAAGTGGATGAGTGGGCACACGTCATGCCGTCGACTCGCTCTTTCTGTATTTGTGTGCGTCCTTTCCTGACAGCGGGATGAAGGTTAGGTCTTTATTAAAGATCAACACCGGTGGAGTTGTCCTGTGATGACATCATGTAGTTAAGAAGCAGCTGTGTTTTCTCAGAGTCACTTCGGCAGCAAAGAACTGAACTCGGCAGTGCAATCTGCCAAGGATTATAAATATAGAGTTGGCCTAAATACAAGCTTCTACTTTTTTTATGTATATACCGTGCAAAAGGCCACAGCCTGCCACAAGCTTTGTTGTTTTAATGGCCTTTTTTTCCAGTTAATGTGACATACTACCTAACAGGACGCATGCCGTCAGTGGGATTACAACATAAAATACAAAACCAAATTATGGAGAGGGGTGGTGGCACTGGGCCAAGGAAGAACATGAAATCTGGATGAAATGTTCTGCTCCAGGAATTTACTGTCACCATTTTATTTTATCACTGGTTCACATGTCCAAAGTCATCACGACAAAACCTGTTTGCTTATCATCCTCCATGAACCGGGAAGTATTCTGCAAACTAACAAACAAACACAAATACAATGTTTTTCCCAAAATCGTTCATGCATGGCAGAGTTCTTCACTATACAAAGTCAAAGTACATTGCAGACCTGATACTGTGTATGATCGTTACATCATTGCTAAATTCTCACCTGTTATGGTGACGGCATGAGCTATTTGCACAATTCTGGATTTTATGTTCGGCCATTTTAGTAAAACAGGACTTCATTATGTTCTCAACCTGGATCTGAACATTTGAACTAACTAGGGGGTAAACTGGTCGACTCCTCAGGGGTAAACTGATCGACTCTGCTATTACATATGAATGTTTAAAGTTGATCACTCATTAATCTCATGTTTTTGCCATATTGTCTTCCATTCGGACTATTTGCAGAACACTTTATAGTTACCTGTCTCCTGCTGTTGCTGCACTATAAGGCTTTGTGGAGCAGTGAAAGCAGCCACAAAGGCGATACAGTCGTCATACATCTGTGGGGAACTGATAGTATGAAAATAAGATGGTTGAGCATAAAAACAGCGATTGTCGCTTCTCTTCAAATATACCAGCAGGATCACCCGACTGGAGGCAAGAAACGAGGGCAGCGGCATGAAGTGAAGCTTCATCTGCATCGCCAAAATGTTGGGTCCAGTAATGCGTGACAACGACAACTCTATTCCGCATACAGAACAGAAAAAACGCAAAACTTGGGCTGCTTTACGGCACCGTGCGTTTGTTCAAATACAGCTCGAGGGCCTATTATGCTACAAGTGTGTGGAATTGTTTGACTTACGATGAGACCCATAGCACGATCACTTGCAAAACATGCAAGTCTATTTTCAAATACAATAAAAACACAAGTGAAATATAGCCGCATATGTCTTACAAGACGCTACGCTATGGAACACAAGATGAAACTGTCAGTTGTTTTTATTTGCCCCGATGCCGGTCTGTTTTATGTCATTCTTTATACTTTGTTTGCTTTGACCGATAACTGCCACAGATATTTTATGAAAGTCCCACCACATAAAATGATGCAGCGGGCTATATCTGGCCCAAAGGATTTAGTGTCTTCAATTAACCTAACATGGATGTCGGCGTATGTGGAGGAAACCCAGACAAGCATGTGGTGAACATGCAAACTCCAGGCAGGAGAGCCTGAGACCAAATTCAAACCCAGAATCTCTTGACGATGAGCCACTAATTCACCATGCTGCAAAGGAGCGGTCTATTTCCATATCACTACGGTGGAACCTCCAAAGAATTTGTTCCAGGCTAGCAAATGAATGCGGACTACTCTTCACACACAGGTAAGAGGTGCTTGCTAAGGTCAGTACCATGGACAGGGACACCAGACAGGTACGTTCACCTTGACAAGGCACATTCTGATCCATCGTTGTCCTCTGCATAACTGGTTACCAGCCTTTCTACGGATGTTCCGGTGCTCATTTGCATTCATGAAAGTGATAGATTCAAATCCACTTTGTGGCATTGCACACCAAGTCCCACTTCAACAAGCCTGTGTGTGTTGTTGGTACCTGGAGGTGCTCCTCTTGGAACAATACTTCACTCTTAGGGCCTCCGCGAAGATATAAATGGATGGTTCGGCTGGTGTTGTGACCTCTCACCCCGACTGCCCCCTGTTTCCTGAACCAGATGCTGCTCCCGTGGACCAGGGCCTTCTCAACCTAAACAAAGTAATCCTCCACTAAACAAGATGGATATTGTCTCACCACACCAGTAAATACCAGAGGGCCTCGCACACAAAGCTGCCTTCTCCTCTCCCTCGGCTACATCAACTCAACGGGGGGCTGTGATGCACGCATTGTTTCATATACACGTGCACAAAGACATACTGTAGCCTGTGATTTATGCATTTTTTTTTAATGGTCCTTTTTAAATGTACATTTGTGGCTTATAACCAAAACATGCCCTCTTGTGGGGAATATAATTAAAGCATGAGGAAAAAGTTGGCCAATGTGAAAGCCTGGCTGCATGTGCAATGTGTCAGATTGGGCTCATGCGTTGCATAAGGGGACGCCTTTGATCTCCCTGGGATTAGGTCAGACTATGGAAACATTATTAGCAAACGTCATGTAGGCTGCACGCATGGCTGTAGAAGAGAATATGTGATTCTTTGAGGAGGTGTTTCTTTTGGTCTGTGCAGTGAAATGAATGAAGGTTGTCCAAGAAAACAATTGGACTGCTATATGTGACAAGGTGGAATTCTAAATTGCACTCAGTCTTGTTTGTGTACGTTTTAAGTTTTCTTCATTTGCACAAAAAAACCCCCTCTTATTTGGTCCATTTTGTCTCAAGAAAAACTTCTGATCCAAACCATACCATGTCATCCTAAATCCTTCCAATCTTAAATGGATGGATGGATGGATAGATAGATAGATAGATAGATAGATAGATAGATAGATAGATAGATAGATAGATAGATAGATAGATAGATAGATAGATAGATAGATAGATCGTCATTGAGCTACACCATTGCATTAAAACCATATTCATTAAAATGCTGTTAAATAATGACCACTTTGGATCATGGCAGGTCAAGCTGAATACTGTTCTCGTCAAATTGTCATAAGTGATTGATTTACACCACTGCAAAATACAACAATTTCTGTGGGCTACTGTTATCTTTCTAATGGTAACTTTTGTAGAGCTCATTTCATTCTGCACTGAGTCGTAATGCTTGTTTGTAATATTACTTCATAGCAGTGGTAGTGGGGAACGTTTTTTTTCTGCTATGATGTAATGACAGCACCGTTATCTGTGTTTCTTTTGTCACAAGAGCGGCCACCCATCTCGTGACGTCACTCTCCCTCTCGTCCAATCGCGTGCCTCCCCAAAAAGTTTTCAGCCTATAAGATGAGGCCAACTTTCTCAATTGTCAGAAAAGACTTGTCCTCCCGGAGGCCCATCTATGGCAACTTCGGCGTCTTAAAACTGCACAGACCCCCAGGTGGACTAAACCGAGGACTTGATGACAGGGAGGTAATATTTGGACTCTTTTAGAGGGGGCGCGCTATTTCCGTGCGGCGAGTGGAGATGTCCGAGGAAAATTTGGGGGAAGAGTCGAGCAGCTCCCCGGTCTCCCCTGTGGATAGCCTGAGCAACAGCGAGGGGGAGGCGGACACGCAGCCCAAAAGAAGCGCGAGGAAGCGGAGGCCGAGCAGGAAACACGCCGCCGACGACTCGGACAGCCCGATTCCGACGGGGGGCAAACGGGGCAAGAAGTCGAGCAGCAGCGGCAGTCCGCAGTCTCTCGAGGAGCTCCAGAGCCAGCGAGTCATGGCCAACGTGCGGGAGCGACAGAGGACCCAGTCGCTCAACGAGGCGTTCGCGGCCCTGCGCAAGATCATCCCCACGCTGCCCTCGGACAAGCTGAGCAAAATACAGACGCTCAAACTGGCCGCCAGGTACATCGACTTCCTGTGCCAGGTGCTGCAGAGTGACGAGCTGGACGCCAAGATGTCCAGCTGCAGCTACGTGGCCCACGAAAGGCTCAGCTACGCCTTCTCCGTATGGAGGATGGAGGGCGCCTGGTCCATGTCCACATCTCACTAGCACCCGGACGGCTCGAGCCCAACATGGTAGGTTTCGAACTCAATGGCCAACGGTGTTGTTTCCCAGCTAAAATGCACGAATGTTATTTTCTTGGCCAAAGTGCATGATGGAGATTGTCAAATGTTAGTTTTTGTTCCGGACAAAAGCCTATTTTTCTGTGCTAAATTACGTTATGCGTCTTCTTAAACACTGTTATGTCCAGCTAAAATACATGGATGCTTTTTTCTTTACTATAATGCATGCGGTCTTGTTATTCTTTTAAATTACAATCTTCACACTGAAATAGCTAAAAGTATGTTTGTTTGTTTTTATTTGCTGTGATGCATCATGCATATTGTCAAATAGTTTTTTTCACGTCTAATATGCATGAGCACCCCAAATTTACAATTATAGTACCCCCCCTCCCCCACACCCAAATATTTTAATTGCTACATGGTGCATATAGTCAATTATTTCTCCAACTAAAATGTCAAATATGCTTTTTTAACACAATGTATTACAAAGTCCTCCAACATGGGGTTGCACGAAGTAAAATGTCAATTATTATTTTTGGATTACAATGCACATGCCAATGCTCCAACCTGTTTTCTCGTTAAAATGCATGATGCAAATTGCTAACTGAATTTTTTTTTTTGTCCTTAAAATCCATGACTCAATGTGTCACATGCCAATAAACAGCGCTATAAACTGATTGCAGTGACAGCCAATACAAACACCTTAAAAGCTAATCATTGTATGTGCGTTTGACCCTGCACAGGTGACTGCTGATTCTAAACTTCTCACATTCTGATGGGATATATCTGGAGTCCAATGCTGGATACATCGGATCACTATTTAAAGCATAGACCACGGAGGTGCTGCAGGATATTTTTTTTGTTTGTTTGTTTTTGCAGCCCCCTCACACCCTCTACTCGGATGACGTTGTATTTACATGTTGTTGACGACGAATGTTGAATATATCACGGCTGATGCCTGTTAAGAAGAGTTGCTTTTACTAAACGTATTGGGATTGATTTCTGCCACGGTGGAGCAAGGCAATGTAACTTGTGTGTGGCGTGTGTGTGTGTGTGTGTGTGTGTGTGTGTGTGTGTGTGTGTGTGTGTGTGTGTGTGTGTGTGTGTGGGTGTGGTTTGTTGTGTGTGTGTGTGTGTGTGTGTGTGTGTGTGTGTGTGTGTGTAGTTCTCTACTGGTGGTGTAGCCCACATTATAAGGCTGTTTTTGTGGATCAAACCTGTGCAAAAAATATTTTCCAGAAAACATTTATTTATTTATTGGTATTACATTTAGGAATACATCCTGTGTCTGAAATATAAATACATTCCTATTTTTATTATCACTTTTGTAAATGTATATTTTTTTTGCAATAAAGAAAACGAGAACATTTTTGCCTTCTTTCATTCTAATTAAAGATTGTTTTTCAAGGTATTAAAATGACACACGCGAGAAACCACTCGGCACTATGACAAATGCAAATTGGTTAACATGCCTTTAAAAGTTTTTAAAATAAATACATATAATTAAAAGTTAAACCGAAAACGTGTGAAGTAATGGCAAAATACCCTGTTTTAAAATACATAGGCCAAGTCGTAATTTATACGACACCTGTGTTTATTGCTTCAATGCGTTTAAGTGTAAATTCAACTAATGTCCTCCATAGACTCTTCATAAATAAGGCTGGAGGAGTCATGTCAACATGCAAAAGTGTATTTTTATTTTAGGTATGTATGTATTAGTGTTATTATTATTTTTATCGTGTTGGAAACAACCGGTGTTACGTGAATGTGTCTGGGAAACTATGTCCTGCATACCGAATGCGTTTTCTTGACGTTCCACTATTCTAAATAATCTCTACTGCCTGAACAGTACGTGGCTGCACATAAACTCATATTTTTTTAAAAACTACAATTCAGTAATAATTGACTTGATTAAACCAATATGATCGAATGCAACTTCCGGTGTCGTGATCCGTGCTGTCATTGCTTTGTGAAACGTTTAGGTGACGTGGGAAAGTTTTTCTCACTTTCCAAAAAGAAAGCCATGACCGTTTGAAGGTGTGTAATTGGCCTTTGAGGCATGTATGGAATTCCCAGATGTCTATGAAATTTAAGGAGGCACTGAAGGTAGCGTGGACGAAGGGGCCACTCTCACTGTTTGCGTGGGCGGAGGGGGTGGAGGTGCTTCCACAACCCCACAAACATCTACAGGCCCTTGAATGACTTGGTGAATTTAACGTTTACCTATCACATTAATCATCGAATAATCCCATTACATAGAACGCATCACACTATTCTTGAAGTTGAAAAAACGCAAAATTAAAAATACGTTCATTTCTGGATGAAACAACCTTCAATATGTTTCCCCTTTTCATAGTGCACTTGCCAATTGAGGCACACAGAATGAAACCTATTTAGAACAGATGTTAGCATTTTTTTTTTTTTTTTGGGAAGGAAAAAGTCACGTGAAATGAGCAGATGTTCAGAGTGTGGTGCAGAGGCTCACACAGTGCATAGCACCGCAGTCCACGGACAGAGAGAACCCGCACGACACGCCGAACTGGAGCCGGACCGAGTCAGAAATCGCGTTCATCAATCACAACTTTTCCATTCAATGGATTTTATCCGAATGATCGTGTGCGCTTTGGAAAATGGACGTGAAAAGAAAAGGTCGGGTATTCTAAATGTGTTCATTCATTTCATTACATTTCACTTATTCATTTTTTTTTTTTAAGAAAAGAAATGAAAGGGGCCCGAAATAAGTACAAAAAAATAACTAGTTTTAAGCGTTTGTTACATAAATGCGTTGCAAGAGACTGCATGCCTGCGTTATATATTATAAAAGCGCTGATGGAAATATGAAATATGCTACATCGGAGGGTTTCTGTTAAAATGTCAACGCTACCGAAGCCGCGTGCCCTTGTGCATGTTTATGGGCGTGTGCGTGTGTGTGTGTGTGTGTGTGTGTGTGTGTGTGGCGTATGCGTGTCAAAGTGCGTGTGTTAACGTGTGTGTGTGCGTGTGGGGTGGGGGGGTTGCCTGTGTGTGTGTGTGTGTGTGTGTGTGTGTGTGTGTGTGTGTGTGTGTGTGTGTGTGTGTGTGTGTATGTGAGGGAGAGAGAGTGGGGGGG